GAAGGAAGGAAAGAAGGAAGGTAATTTTGAAAGTATGCTCTTACCTCAAAAAGTGGATCTAGTTTTAGTGTGACATGCTTGACCTTTTGTTACCAGGAGGTGGCATTCTGAGAGATGTCAGGGTTTTAGAGATGTGGACCATCAGATGGTAAGCAAGGGATGTAGGACATAGTCAGAAACTGCAGACAAGCTCAGTGGACTAGAGTGTTGCCTGGTCCCAGCACACTGGGTGATGATACTTACCACAGACACACTCACCCTCCTCACCCTCCTCCTCCTGCTCCTCCTCAGGGCCACCATTTACAGTGTGTGTAGGCTCCTGCTAATAAGTGGTAGGTGAGCATGTTCTATGTGTATCACTTCATTTAATCCTCCCAGGAGCCACTGAGTAGATAACTTTTTGACAGATAGTTAAACTGAGGCATAGGCTTGGGCTAAAGAACTTGCCCAAGGTGATAGAGTTAGTGCAAAATTCGGGACTTGAACGGAGGTCTCTGTGATCCTGGAGTCTACGCTAGTAATCAGCGGCAGATAACAGGAATTTCTACAACAGCTTTTACTGTCAAATTTATAGGAATCAGGTAATAGCTTTCTGCTTCTGTCCACGTGGAGTGAGTATTGGGGTCAAATCACTAAAATCTACTAATGGGTGAAATGCTCACAGCAGAGTCAGCCCCAGTAGTTTTAGCAATTCAAAAGAGCAGTGATGATTGGTGTCATAAAAGCCACAACACGTTTCTAGAAAGGATAAGGCAACTGCACTGCTTTTTTCCAATCATTTCATTGCATGTGCTCATGGCCAATCCGTCACTGCTTCTGGCTGTGGTCTCTTTTTAATGCAAGTATTTCTTCGCATGGATTTCTGTAATCATGTTCTTCTTCTGTGTTTTATTTTCTTTTTGAAATCACAGCTTGGGAGTTGTTTAATGTTAAGGGATTTTAAAAAACAAGGCTATGCTTTAATGTGAATGTTTTTAAACTGACCCCGCCTGTTTAAAGGATGCAACATAGCAATGTTCCCGTGACCTGTTTTTATACCTTTTCATATTTTATATGATCTCCAATCAGTTGGACAGATAATAACTGAAGCCGTGGCATCGGGCTGCCACAGCCACTGTTATGACGACGAGTCTGGTGTTAGCAGTGCAGACGAGGAGTGGAAGCCCTGGAGGGAGCTGCAGATTGACACGGGTGGAGGTAAGGGCGCATCATTACCGAGGAGAGATCTTCAGGACGACAGCCTGTTTCCATCTTTCAACCCCCCTTCCTTCTGCCACCTTTTTTTTTTCTCTCTTCAATTAATGAATGTGACGGCCAGAAGTGGTTGACAGGCCCTAAGGGGAGCTTTAAAACTAACATCAGGCATGAATGTTATTATTCTTTTTGAATACATTGGTGCCAAGGATATTTATAAAAAGGACTCTAGATGATAAATACTGGTAGGGATTTTCAGAATAGTCTTCTTTCCAAGGCTGCCTTCCAGTTAGTTGGCCAGGCAGGTGAATTTGCCCTAATTGACCCAATTGGAGACCTCAAGAACCAAGACACATTTCACAATGATTCATTAGAACTTCTTGTTTTTTTTTTTTTTTTAACTAGAAAAGAATTCATTGCCACCAGTATATGACCTGTCTGTTGGTGGTAAGTATTCCATCTGTAAGAGTGCCAAGTGGGGCGATTCAGTAGACCAAGACTCATACATTCCTGGCCGAACTTCCCATGTCACTAGCTTTCCCAAATTTGGTGAATGGCTTTTTAAGAAAGTGTCCTAATTTGAATATATGTATATGTGTTAGGGGAAAATTTTCATTTTATTCATCATATAGTCACCTTGCCCCCATGTTCTATCAAGCACTGTGAGCCAATT